CATTTTTTAGATTGCATCCTAGTACTGCATTTCAGACACTTTTTGTTGACTATGATCGCTACTCCATTTCTTCTAAGGGATTCTTGCCCACCGTAGTAGATATAATGATCATCTGAGTTAAATTCACCCATTCCAGTCTATTTTAGATCACTGATTCCTAAAATGTCGATGTTCACTCTTGCCATCTCCTGTTTGAACACTTCCAATTTGTTTTGATTCATGGACCTCACATTCCAGATTCCTGTGCAATATTGCTCTTTACACCACCAGTCACATCCACAACTGGGTGCTGTGTTTTCTTTGGCTCTGTCTCTTCATTCTTTCTGGAATTATTTCTCCACTGATCTCCTGTAGCATATTGGGCACCTACTGACCTGGGGAGTTCCTCTTTCAGTGTCCTATCTTTTTGCCTTTTCAAACTGTTCATGGGGTTCTCAACGCAAGAATACTGAAGTGGTTTGCCATTGCCTTCTCCAGTGGACCACGTTTTGTCAGAACTCTCCAACATGACCCGTCCATCTTGGGTGGCCCCACACGGCATGGCTCATAGTTTCACTGAGTTAGACAAGGCTGTGGTCCATGTGAACAGATTGGTTAGTTTTCTGTGACTGTGGTTTTCAGTCTGTCTGCCCTCTGATGGTGAAGGATAAGACGCTTATGGAAGCTTCCTGATGGGAGATACTGACTGAGGGAGAAACTGGGTCTTGTTCTAATGGGCGGGGCCATGCTCAGTAAATCTTTAATCTAATTTTCTATTGATGGGCAGGGCTGTGTTCCCTCCCTGTTTGACCCGAGGCCAAACTATGGTGGAGGTGATGAAGATAATGATGACTGCCTTCAAAAGGTCCCATGCACACACTGCTACACTCAGTGCCCCCAACCCTGCAGCAGGCCACTGCCAACTCACGCCTCTGCCGGAGACTCCTGGACACTCATGAGCAAGTCTGGGTCAGTCTCTTGAGGGGTTACTGCTCCTTTCTCCTGGGTTCTGGTGCACAAGGTTCTGTGTGTGCCCTCCAAGGGTCTGTTCCCCCAGTCCTGTGTAAGTTCTGGCAGCTCTATGGTGGGGTTAATGGCGACCTCCTCCAAGAGGGCTGATGCCACACCCAGGTCTGCTGCACCCAGAGCCCCTGCCCCTGCAGCGGGCCACTGCTGACCCGGACCCCTGCAGGAGACGCTCAGACACAGTCTGACTCAGCCTCTGTGGGGGCTCTGGGTCCTGGTGCACACAGGTATGTTGCAGCCCTCTGAGTGTCTCTGGTGGGCATGGGGTTTGATTCTAAATGTGATTTCACCCCTCCTACCGTCTTGCTGTGGCTTCTCCTCTGCCCTTGGACGTGGGGGTATCTCCTCAAAGTCACTCTTCAAAGAGAAGAGAAGGCGGCAAAATCTTGAGCTGTCCTACCAAGGCAAGAACAATCTCTATTCTTTTTTTGTCCAGAAACTCTCCTTTAGCTTCTTACTACCAACTGTTCACAGCTGCCTCCTCCTTTTGGTATCCAGGCCAGCAAAAGACTCACCCTGAATCCCTCAGATAAACCTGGTAAGGGTGCCTGGGTGAATATGCTTGTGCCGGGCCCTGGCAAATTTTATGGTTGCTCTGGGCATGGGAACGATTATTAGATCCTTCTTTTCCCTTCCTCACATTCCCTCTCTTCACCCATTACTTCTTTAACAGGAGGGAAAGGGACAGGGCGCAACTTTTGAAATAATTCACACAACATAAACCAATTAGAATCAAATGGGATAATGATAGCAGACAAAACTAGATCTTGATCCTCAATCAGCAAGTGAAATGACACACCCAGAAGTGCCATGACATTTCCAAGGCATTGCTGAGAGACCAAGGAAAGGGCAGTGGCCCAAATACCGGAAATCTCCGCCCCTTCCCCCAAAGAGTTGGAATCCTCCCACTCATTAGCATGTTAAATTGCCCAGCCTATAAAAACTAAAGTGAAAGTGAAGTCGCTCAGTCGTGTCTGACTCTTTGTAACCCCATGGACTGTAGCCCACCAGGGTCCTCCGTCCGTGGGATTTTCCAGGCAAGAGCACTGGAGTGGGTTGCCATTTCCTTCTCCAGGGGGTCTTCCCGACCCAGGGATGGAGCCCAGGTCTCCCGCATTGCAGGCAGACGCTTTGCAGTGGCCCACACTCTGTCTGTGGAGCTTGCTTCTCTCTGTATCTGAATAAATCTACTTCTTACCTATCACTTTGTCTCTCACCAAATTCTTTCTGCGATGAGATATCAAGAACCTGAGCTTCATTAGCACCAAAACCCAGGTACTGTGGGTTTTGGCTGGGTTTGAGTCCCAGCCATGTGGGTTCAAGTCCCAAACTGGGCTTTGGATGGTTCGAGTCCCAGCACATGGGTTCCAGTAGCTATCTGTGGTAAACGGTTTCACTTCCACATGTGCTTGTCTGGATTAGAACTTGGAAGGGTTGGTAGAGGGAGGCCTGACATGACCTTTTCTTGAAATGCTGTAATTCTGACAGATGTCTGGGGCGTATTCTTTACCTTACTTTGCCTGACCGGGGCACAGCCTTTTAGGGAATGAAGAGGCTGAGCCCCTGGAGTGAGAGTGGCAGTGTGGTATTCCACTGGTTTCCAGGGGCTCTTATCTCTCCTTAAGTTGTGTAAATCCAAGGGAGGAAGAGCATTGACTCTAGTCAGGAGGCCATGAGTGACTGTGTTTCATAAAAAGAGGCCTGAAAAGTACAACTGGAAACTAGATCCTAAAGGATAAAATTCACATTGAAAGGACAGGTAAAAGACAGTTTTAGGAAAAATAAAAGGTAGCAGATTTCATTCATTTACTCACTAATAGAAAAACATTAATAATCCAAGTGTTAGCATTTTGCTTAGTTATTCAAATTAAAAAATGAAACAATTGTTATCCTCAAGGTGATCAACATGGCCTAGTAGAGGAGAAAACCACAGTAAAATAGGCATGTAAATGATACACAGTCAAATCATGGGAACCAAAAATAAGAAAAATGTATAAGGTGATCTTGTGCAAGGAAGAGGCACACAACTCAGAGTAGGGAACTGGGTGTCAGTGAAGGCTCCCAGAGGAAGCAACTAAAGCTACGGAGGTTGAAGAGCAGATAGACCTCAGCTAGACAAAGGAAAGAAGGTATTCTAAGAGGAGAGAATGGAAAGGGCCAAGGCACAGTGGCTTCTGAAGATAGTGGGACCTTTGGGGGAATTGCAAATAATTTTGTATATGCAGCAGAAAGTGACAATGAAGCTGGAGAGGTAGGCACCACCAAGGCAGGAAAGCTCTGATGATTCACTAATGGACTTTAAACTGGCAAGTGACACGATCTGATTTGGATTTTTGAAAGATCATTCTCTGTGGTGTGGATAATGGATTGGGAATAAGCAGAATCAGAGGCAGGGAGGTCTGAGAGGAGGATGTTGGCACAGTCTAGGCAGGGAACAATGAAATCTATGGGATTGGGAACAAATATGAGGAGAAAGACTAAAGATATTTCTAAGACAAAGTGTATGGAACTTGGTAACAGGATAGATTGGATTAGAGGGACGGAAGGGAGCTGTCTAGAAAGACTTCTAGTGTTTTGGTTTGAGCAACTGGGTGGTAGTGCTATTCAGGGAAACAAAAATAGAGAAGCAAATTTCAATGTTCTTTCATTTTATTTGTTCATTTATTCAACAGATATTTATTAAAGACCCATTATATATTGTTCACAGACAGGTAAATTAGTGATTATAATGCCCTGTGATAAATATCACTGACAGTGACAATTATATACACGGGAGCAACTGAATACATCGGACAGACATGTAAAAGTCACACTGAGGAATAAGGGTAAGCTCTTGCAGGAGACAGTGCCTAATCTGAGTGTTTATTTATTTTTTTAAATCGAGGACAAACTCTATTAACACAAAACATTCTCATAACCCTTTTTAAGTATACAATGCAGTGGCACTTGGTACATTCACAATGTTGTTCAACCATTACTTCTATTTAGTTCCAACTATTCTGAGTTTCTGGAGGGTGACTAGAAGTTTGCTAGATGAAGAAGGGAGTAGGGAAAGCATGTTAGGATATGACAACAGATGCTGATGACAAGAAGACCAGAAAGAGCATGACTGGAGTGAATGCAGATGGGGGAGAAGTAGAAGACAATGCTAGAGAGGGCCGAAAAATAAAACACGCAAATTTTAACTAGATCCTGAGGTGTGCAAGACTCTTCAAGGATGCTAAGCTGGGGCTTGACACAATCAAGTTTGCAGTTCAGAAAGATGACTCTGGAAATGGTACTCGTGATACTTTAGGCAGGAGAAAGCCAGAAACATGAGTGGGGAGATTTTCTGCAGTAATCCATGTGGGAGATGATCCAAATACGAACAAGGGCAAAGGTAATAATGGAGGGAACTGAAAGCAAGACAATGGAGATGCTCAATGTATATCACTTGATGACTTATTAGACACCAGACTATACAGGAAGAGTACAGTATTCTGCCTTGGGTGACTCGGATGACAGTAATGACATCCTGGGGTGAAATTTGGGGGGAATATATTTAATACAGGTTGGTGAGTTTCCTGAGATTCAACTAAGTGAAGTGTCTTAGGGTCAGTTTGATAAATGAATCTGGACCTCAGAAGAGAGATCTAGGATAGAAAGAGAGCTGAGAATCTTCTTTTTACTGGTAAATAAAGCCATGATGTTGTAAGAGATGACTCAGGAAAAGTGTACAGGGAAAATGAGCAGAGAACCTAGGGTTGAGCTCTGGGGACTGATATTTAAGGTCTGCAAACAGGATATAAATATACAGTTAAAAGACGCTGGGGCCAAGACAGAGTTTAGTAACGGGGGGAAGAAAAGTGGAATGGAAGTAAAGAAGTAGAGAAAGAGTGGGGGAAGGGAAACACTGGTCTCACTTGAAAGAGGGCAGGTGTCAGGAGTCTACAGACTGATGCTATTGCTTGGCCTGAGTTACTATCACTGGGACCCCAACAGACCATATGAATCTCTCCACTCCAAAATAAGCAGTTTATTACTTATCTATAAACTTATTAGAAACAGTTTCTCAAGTACATACAATTTCTTCTCAAAATAATTTTATGGAATGAAGACAAATGTTCACCAGTTATGGCTTATGTCCCTCAAGAAAAGATTTTTAAAATCCCCTGCATTTTCCCTGTCCCAGTTCTGAGGCCTGAAAAGGTGTCAGTTCTTGGGTCAAAGAGAAGAGAAGGCAGCAAAATCTTGAGCTGTCCTACCAAGGCAGGAACAATTTCTATTCTTTTTTTGGTTCAGAAACTCTCCTTTGGCTTCTTATGACCAACTGTTCCCAGCTGTCTCCTCCTTTTGGTACCCAGCCCAGCAAAAGATTTACCTGAATCCCTCAGATAAAGCTGGTGAAGGTGCCTGGGTGAATATGCTTGTGCGGGGCCCTGGCAGATTTTGGTTGCTCTGGGTATGGGAACGATTATTAGATCCTTCTTTTCCCTTCCTCACATTGCCCCTCTTCACTCAGTATCTCCACATGTGCTTGTCCAGATTAGAACTTGGAAGGCAGGGGGAGGCCTGAGATGACTTCTTCTTGAAATGCTGTAACTCCGACAGCTGTCGGGCTCATTCTCTACTCTGCCCTGCCTTACCTGGGCACAGCCTTCGAGGGAATGAGGGGCTGAGCCCCAGGAGTGAGTGGAAGCACGACTTTATGCTATTTCCAGGGGCTCTAGTCTCTCCTTATGAAGTTTCGTGAATGCAAGAGAGGAAGAGCAATGACTGCCTCCTCTGGGGCTTCCCCAAAGACCTCTACCTTTTATGAGGAAAGCTGTTTCTCTTGGGAAATCTGGCCTTCATGGTCTTGCCGGAAGTGATGAGGGCCCCAAAGCCCTGTTTGTGGGAAAACGCGTAGGCAGAGCGTCGAGAGGCTGGGTGTTTCAGTTTGGTCCTGAATGGGTATGGCAGCGGATGCCTCATGCAGTGATGAATTCTGTCAATAATCTACAGTCGGAGCACGGGGACAGGGTTTTATCCACAGAGGCAAAGGCTAAGAGGGCCATGAATTCTATTTGGGTGGATTCCTGTTGCACTCACCTGGTCCACGCTGACGGGCCAGAACAGCGGTTTGAGAAACTGGTACCCAACCACAGGCAGCATGCAGAGGATGATGCTGAGGACAACACACAGCCACATCTGCGGCAGGTTCAGAGTGTTCCTGGCCACACCTGTGAACAAAGCGCCAGAGAGGAAAGGCGGGACCAGAGCCTGGAGGAAGGGGGCTGTCAGCCTGAACTTAGGTACTTCTCCAGTCCAGAGAAAGAAGTTACTGATTGGAAACAGTTTAGTCTCCTGAGAAATAATACAAATGCTAAAGGACTGTACTGGGGTCCTTGGTGTAGCCAAGGCCACTGAATTCACAGGCTTTTGTCTCCCTCTAAAGGCCAGGCCAGGCAGCAGCGGCGGGGGTAGGTTCCAGGAGTCCCAGAGCACTGACAGAGACACAAAAATGGGATGGGGGTTTTGGAGGGAAAAAATGAGTGGCTTGACAAAAAATAGGAACCAGTTATATACAGTAACATCTGTCTGTTATTTTGTCCTCATCAGAGTGCAGACGAGTGAGGGGAAAATTAACACAGGAGCTAAGAAGGCATTATGTCATAATAGGAAGGACATCTGACTGGGAACCAGGAGGGCTAGATTTGAGTCATTAAAAAAACTTCCAGTCTCTAAAGTAGTGCAATAATTCTTGTGCTGTCTATCTCTCAGTATGCTTGCAATGCTCAAATTAGGTAAGAAACTTAAAAATATCTTAGAGGCTCTAATAAGGTAAAGTACTTCCCCTAGCTAGATTTTGAGTCCTTTTAAGGCTGAGATCATGTCTCAATCATATCTATATCCACGGAGTCTAATACATAGCAGTAGCTGCTCAGTAAACATTCAATAAACAGATATACTTGGCTCACACTCCCGCCCCCAGCCCCAGCCCCTTGCACACTGGGCAGAGCCTTACCTAGGAACTGGAAGACGTCGGGGAACAGTAAGCATAAGCCATCACTGTACAGGAAGAATAAGATGCAAAAGTAGAAACCCAGGCTGCCCCAGGTGAAGACATGGCTTATCATCGTCCAGTAGGTTGTCTCCAGCGTAATCTGAAAAGCACCCTCTTATGTACATTAGTCTACAACCCAGGATCTATCAGTCACCTCCCTTCTCCCATTTCATAAAAGAGGACGCTCCCTTCCCGCCTTCTCTCCCTCCTTCCCTTCCTCTCTTCCAGACAGGCTCCCACACAATCCCCTAACCCCACCGCCAGCCACACCTGCATTGTGACCACACAGAGCAAGGAGGTCTGCACTAGCAGGGAGAAGGACTGGTAGTCGGAGATCTCCTTCCCATCCTTGCGCTCTGAATTGAAAACAGTCCCCATAGGGATAAAGTAGAGCACAAAAGAACTGTAGATCCCGTGTAGCAAACACTTCACAAATTCCTTCTTGTTGAAATAGAGGTTGTGCTGGCCTGGCTCATACAGCTCTGGGAAGCGTAGGCTCCATGTTTCATTCACGTCCTGGAAGCACCAGAGGGTAAGGAGGAAGGCTCAGGGTCTCTCCAAAGAGGGTCCCATCTCCAGAAGAGTACAGGCTCCTCCCCTCACTGAGTTTGCTCTTAGGCTGCCTAGGAGACTCCTCATGGAGTACTTGAGATGTAGAACCAGAGAACACAGCAGTGGCCACAGACCCTTTCCAAAGCCCTACTCTCTAGGCAGGGATACACGTGGTGGAAGAAAGCTAGGAGGTCAAGATGGGGAGTTAAGCCACTGGGGAACTCAGCTGAGCGAATGACATGGGACCATCTTCATCTCCTAAATCTAAAACTTTGGGTAACAAGGATTGAGGCTGAATGACAGAACTCATCCTCTTGCTGCTCTGAGGCTGGCAGCTACTTCATGGAGAGATTCCTTCCTACCCTGATGGAGACCAGGAACCAAGATCCCATGATGTCTTCTTTCAGCTACTTTATTTCTCTTTGAAGGCTCCTTTTTCATTCCAGGTACCCAGGACTGGAGGTTGGGTAGAAGAGGGAGAGGCAGGGCACCAGGACCCTCAGTGCCAAGGGAAATTCCCGAGAGGACTAGACAGTACCCCCCAGGCTGACTCCCTGTGATTTGAGGAATCATACCCACACTTCCAAGCTTGGCCTTCAGGATTCTCACCTAGGCCTCACTGCACTGGCTTATCCCAGTGTCTCTTTATGGGTCTCTCCTTTCTGGAGTCCCTTGATTTATCTAGTCCTGCCCCAACAACTATTTCCTTCCACTTTTGTACACACTCCATTTATTGAACAGCACAATGTCTGTGCTTCTCTCTATGAAGAAAAAATTGACACAGGAAAATTTGGGTTTCTACAGCCAATGATTATTCTCTGTGGCAGAGCATACTTTACTTTATCCAACGATACCTCTCCAGGTGGTGAGTTCCCTCCCTTGCTCTAGAAATGACTCTATTTACTTTTGACTTTGGAGCCTATCTCTTGACTGCTGCTGTCCTCCTCATTCCTTGGAATACTCTTCAAGGGGCCAGGGGCTTCAGCCTTGACTAAGAGGTTTGTTGCTGGTCTTACCTGATCAAACAGACTCAAGCCCAGGACAGGGAGGGAGGTGTAGACCAGGTTGTAGAAAGTGATAAACCAGGTATCATAAACTGTCTGGAAGAACACCAAGGAGATTTCTGAGATCCCTCTCTTCTCCAAAGTCTCAGCCCTACCTCGCAGCTCTAAGAGAACCCCTTCTGCCCTCCACCTACCCAGCACCATGATAACCTAGAGCATGGTTTGGATTTCTGAAATCTGACCGAGAAAGCTGACTGCAGACTCTGTTCGGTCCCTGGTCCCAGGCTGGGGCAAGGCCACATTACACTTGTTTGTGCCCAGTCTGATGAGGCTGATTTAGACCAACTCCACCATGACCTGTACTGCTCCTCTCTGCGTGGAAAGGACCCAGAGTGGCTTCCAGGGAACGCTGAGTGTACCCCTGCACTCCCAGGCATGTAAGCCTCTGTGTTCTTTATCTGCTTTACGGCATTCAGTAGTTTCTTTAACCCTGGACACCTTCTAACACTGGTAAGCAGGACAGACCCATGAGCCTACAGAAACTACTTTCTTTCCTAGCCACAAGAGGTCAGCAGTAACATGTACATATACAGACACCTCCCAGAAGCCACAGTGGTGTCTCTAGACACTGGGGGCAGACAAGCCCGCTATTGTCTGCTGACTGGTCTGTTTTCCCTGGAGCCTAAGGTCATAAAGGTAGTAGGGATCTCCCAAGATAATCGTTCCGGAGGTTGTTTCTCTTTGGGAATCCTTGGGAATCCTGAGAAACTTCTTATAGGAAAAAGGGAATTCTCATAGAACATCAACAGCCAAGGGTCACTTCTCCCCACTTCTGTGGAGATTTCATACTCATTAGAGCAACAACAGTGTTTGGCAGGGTGGTATGTCTGGGTGAGGAAGAAGTAAAGAGAAGCTGTGTTTCCAAGTGTGGCTACAGGTAAATGCCAGAACCGGCCCATCTGGCAAGACCCAAAGGCCTCCTGAGGCTTAGCCTGTTCCATAAAGATTACTCTGGATCCTAAAAAACTCAGACCCAGGAATCTCACCCTCACCACCCCCCACCTCCATTACATATGTTTGGAAACTCTAGGTCTCTATGTCATGGAAAAGATGAAAATATCTTCTGGGAGAGTTCTGTGGGTAGAAGTCAAGGCTGAGTCAGAGCCAGGCCAGAGCTTCGAAGTCTAAGGTTAAGTGCAGGGCTTAGGAGACGGGATCATCATGGGTGAGGAGTTTAAAGGATGGATGTTGGCATGTCACACACAGGTTTCTAGAGGTGAAAACGGGTCTGAACTGGCTGAAGTGGAGGAAGATTAGAGAAGGCCCACTTGACCAGAGTGGAGAATGCCATTTGAGCACTTACCTGTGCAGAAAACCCGCTGTAGAAGGCATACCAGACGTGCACCAGGGTGAAGGTGAAGTTTTTGTAAAAGAAGTAGCTTAGAAACTTGCACATGCGGTTATAGGACCAGCGGCCATGAACCAAGAGCAGACGCTGAAGATAGCGGAACTGGGATAAGGCATAGTCGCTGCTGAGCATGGCCTGCATCCCCTCCTGGCCACTGATGCCAACTCCAATGTGGGCAACTGCAAAGGAACCCCAGGAAATTCTCAGTCAAAGAGCTTGCTCTCTGGGCTCACAGCCTGGGAAGTGTATGATTAAGGCTGAGATCACGTTTCATGTACCTCTTATTTTACACCTGAAAAACACTGGTAGGCCTAGCGGAAGTGGTATTTGCTCACAGGGGTCTTTCCTCCTTAGTGGACTTCCCTTCCCCCACAAGTCAGAAAACAGCCCCTTCATTCACACGTTGTTTTAAATGCTGCCCCTCGAGATTACCAGGCATGGCTAGCATCTGTAGAAGTCTGTCCCTGACGGTCTTTGTACTTCCTACAGCCATCTGGGCTCTCCCCTACTGCCCAGATGCTCAGGTAAAAAATTTCTTGTTATCTCTTTAGCCCACTTAAAGATTCAGGATGGATATCAACCTAACACATCATTTATTTATCTAAGTTTATCTAAGGAGCTAAACTCCCAACTGTTGGGAGAATAGTTATGTACATACTTTGTTAGTAAGAAATGAGTTCCTCAGGAAGCTGAAGGTGTCTTTTTCTGGATAAAGCAAGGGAGACTTGGCTTCAATCCCTGGGTCAGGAAGATTCCCTGGAGAAGGGAATGGCTATGCCCTCCAGTATTCTTGCTTGGAAAATTCCATTGACAGAGGAGCCTAGCAGGCTACAGGTCACAGGGTCGCATGGGGTCAGACATGACTGAGCGACTAATACTCTCACTTTTATGCTTGATGGAAGACAAGACTTAAATTTCTAAAAGTTTTAATTGGCCTGTTGTAGTACAGATTAAATTCTTTGATCTCCTGGCACTCTGATTACACTGCTTAACAGAATAACTAAAACCTCTGAGGCCCTAAAAGTCAAAGAAGTTCTAGAAACTGGAGAAAGAGAGCAAGAACACTTCCTAGTGTTGAAACTGAGATTGGCATGTATGCTAGTGTTTTCAGTATGGGGAGAGAGGCTGGACTAGAGGACCCCTAGACGTTATCATAACTCACAGAACTACAAGCTGCTGGAGGCTCACAACAGTCAGCTGAAATTAACACCAGTTTCAGCCATTTGCTTCCATTACTCTGAAGCGTCAGTAAGTTTGCTATTCTTCTCCAGCCAGGGGAGTCAGGGCAAGCTCTTGGGAATACTGCCTCGGAGAGGAAAAGATCCCTGCATCAGGCTGCACGGCTAATTCCCTGGTTGGGCAGCCCTGCTGTCTGCCTAACCTTGCTCAACTCTACAGCCTTCAACAAAGGAACCAACCGTGACTCCGGCCCCAGGGCCCTTTCTGGGGGCTCTGACACCATCTCAACAAGATGGGCGTTTTGTTTGCGTAGCTTGTTGCTCTCTGAGTATGTGCTCGTGTTCATGTTGGGGCCATGGGTATCTGAGTGCGTGAGTGTTACACGCGTGAATCTGAATGTGTGTGCATGGCCGTATGTAATGATGCATAAATAAGTGGGTACTCAGGTGCCGAGGAACATGAATGAAGTTGCAGAACAATATAAATGTACAATACATACAGGAGATATGCAGGAGAATGGACCAGCACCACAGTGCCACGCACATCAGTCTTGCCCATGGGAGAAGGAGAGGGCCGGCCCGTGGCCAGGCACTGCTGCCCCCAGCCCCTCCACATGCCTTTGATCATGCTGACGTCATTGGCTCCATCACCGATGGCCAGTGTCACCGCCCTCTTGTACTTCTTCACCAGTTCTACCACCTGGGCCTTCTGGAGGGGCGTCATCCGGCAGCAGATCACCCCCTTGCACATGCACGCCGTCCGCAGCAGTTCCAACTCCAGGTTTCCTTCTAGAGCGTGGGCCTGCAGGACCAGGACACACCTACATTCCAGGCTGCCCCCAAAGCTCTTGGGACAGAACCTTCCTCGGCCCTCTCTTTCCCCTCCATTCTCCCCTCGCAGGCAGAGCTGCTCCCAAGATGCTTCATTCCCAGGGAAGCCAAGCCCCCAGGTCAGTTCTAGGCATTCTGACCCAGCTTCCAGTGGGAAACCATGAGAGTCTCCCACTAGGTCAAATTGATTGACTGGGTTAAAAGGCCCAGAGACCTTTTGGAGGACCTGGTTCGGCTCACTTCCCCTCTTCCTCAAGTAATGGGCCACATCAGCAGTGAAGAATTTGGAAAAGGAAGGAATAGGCCCTTGGCTTCTCTTTCCTCATTACTCCTGCCTAGAGAAGGCCGGGGAAAGGTGTCTGACAGGGAGGGGGCCTAGGGTAACTGAAGGAATAGCAAAAGGATCTTGAAATTTCCCGGAAATGGGTTGGACCTAGGAACAGAGTTCCTTGGAAGAAGAGAACAGAGTTGTAGATCTGCATTGCCCACCAGACTGCAGCCGGTGATGATTAAGCCATAGCTGCCACTGGGCGCCTCCTCGGGTATTTTGAAGGGCGGCTGGGGCTTTGTGGCGAGGTAGCTGTTTACGGGGTCTGATTCCAGTAGAGAGTCGGGTTTCATCTTTTCCCGTGCTGACCTGCAAGCCAAGAGTGATGATTAACGTCTGACCGGAAGCCCTAGAGCCGAGGGAGGACAAGGCGTCCCAAGGTGGAAACGGGCCAGACGGACACAGAACGTCTGCAGGGTGCCTCCCGGGGCCTCAGACTCGACCGCCTCCCGAGACCCAGCCCCGCCTACGTGTTATCTGCCCATGACACTTCTCCACCTGCGCACGCTCCTTGAGCTCTAAAGCTTCCTCACGAAATTCTCTCAGATATTTTAGGTTTCTGTTTTGCCCTCCCCCACTTCTCTGTTTCTCTGGTAATGCGGGGGCCACACTGGGGGCAGAGATGGGCGGGAAATCTCGGTTCTGGTGACAGGCTGTGGCAGCTCTTCCCTCATACCTGAGTTCTCCCCCAACAGTCTCATCGTTGTTGCCTTTCACGATAAATATCTCATCCATCTCGTCCTCGAATATGTTGCAGGCATAGGCAATGTTCACAGCAGTCTCTGCAGGGCAAGGGGGAACGCAGGTCGCAGCTGGCTGGGACAGGGGCTTTACGGTGCAGACGCACAAGGAGCAGACAGCGGGCTGCAGACCCCGTGTGCCCACATTTGCCTCGGAGGCAGCTGAACGCGTTTTTCACGAGTCAGCAGAGACGATATTCAAACATCCACAGGACAGACTTGTAAGTTATCGATCAATAACTAGGATCATTCTGGCTTAGCTTCCCCTAGGAAGCTTGCCTTATTACTTAAAGCAATTCTAGCCTGTACTCACTTCTCCAGGCAATCTGGATATACTTTCTTGAATAGTACTGTGTCCGTTTCTATGCTAGATTTTATGGGGGACTGAGATATATTTAGGCTGTAGCATTGGTCAGGCAAGGAACTCCCCTTTACCTTGTTTATCTCCAGTTAAAACCCAAATTTTAATTTTGGCTTTGTTCAGGGTGAGGATCGTCTCAGGTACTCCATCCTGCAGCTTGTCTTCTATGGCTGTGGCCCCTAACAGCTTCAAACAGAGATATCAGTGAGAGAGGAAAAGGAAGAGACTCATGGCATTTTGTTGTTGATCAGTCGCTCAGTCATATCTGACTCTCTGTGACCCCATGGACTGCAGCATGCCAGGCTTCCCTGTCCCTCACTACCTCCCACAGTTTGTTCAACTCATGTCCGCTCAGTCGATGCCATCCAACCATCATCCTCTGTCACCCCTTCTCCCCCTGCCTTCAATCTTTCCCCGCATTTAGTGGTATCCAACAACTTGGCTGGCACCTTAGCATCCTCTTTAGCAAGCTGGCTCTGTCCTGGCAAGAGGGCCTCAATGGCATAAAACTCACGACCTCCTGCCCTTCAACAGACACACTTCTTCAATCACACACTGACATCAAATTTAGAAATAGATTATAAGGAATAAAAAGAGGGAAGAAGACTAAGTCATACATGAAGCTTTGTGCCACTTCTAAATCCTCTGTTTCTCAACACACTTTTCCTTCTCCCTTGCTTTCAGAGCACGTTTCCTGGCTTTGGTCTCCAAAAGTGGTATGTCTCAGACCAGGGACTCCCAAATCCAACTCTAGTTTTTCAGCTCTAAAAGAGTTTGGATGAACTTCATTTGTTTGTATCTACTGAGGGCTTCTAAGGTTTTTAAGGCCTTTCCCACACTAGATCAAAAGCATGTTGGTCCACACCATGCCTTCTTCCCAATGATACCCTGCTGACCACGGAGGAGGGCACCAACACGGAGTCTGAGGAACTGACAGATGGACAAATGACCGACTGACTGCTGCTGGGCCTCTAAAAGGACAGACTTGAAACACTAACCGCAGAGCCTACCATGGAAGGAGATTTGCGACCTTTGGCATCTCTAAATTTTCCCATTTGGCATCAGCAATTTCTCTTATTTTTACTAAAACAATTTATTTATTTTTGGCTGTGCTGGGTCTTCAGCTGGGTCTTCAAAAATGCTGTCTGGGCTTTTTTCTATGGTGGTGCGCAGGCAGCGTCTCTTGTTGAGGCGTGTGGCCTCGAGGCCGTGCGGGCTTCAGTAGCTGTAACACGTGGGCTCAGCAGCTGTGGCTCCCGGGCTCCAACAGGCTCAGTAGCTGCGGCACAGGAGCTTCGCTGCCCGTGGATCTGGGATCTTCCCAGACCAGGGGCTGAACCCCCGTCTCCCGCATTGGCGGCTGAATTCTCAACCACTAGACCGCAGCAATTTCTCTTTTTATAGCAGAGCCTGTATCAACCTGGTCAAAAATTTTGGGGTCACCCTTAACTTCTTTTATCATATTCTATAATCCACCAGCAAATTCTGTGGGCTCCACTGTTTAAAAATGTACATAATTTGATCATTTCTCACCACTTCCGCTACTTCCGTCTGATCCCAGCCATCATCATTTCTCTCTGGTACTGCTGCAGGTACTTCCTCCTTGGTCTCCCTGTGTCTGCACTTGCTTCTTCATAGCATAAGCTCCACAGGGCAGTCAGACTGATCCCTGTAAAAGCTCTCCCACCCTCCTCGGGTTGCGCTCCTCAGAGGTTTTCCATGGCTCACTCTGAGTCTTTATACCAGCCTGTCAAGGCCTGCTGCTGGCGTCTCTGCTTCCTGTCCCTTCATTCACGCCTCCTCGCTTACACGGTATCAGTCACAGCAGCTGCCTTGCTCTTCAACTAACAAATTAGGTCTGCTCCTGTTTCAGGGCCCTTGCTTTTACTATTCCTTCTTTCTGGAAAACTGACTCCCCAGAGATCTGCTTGGCTTGCACCTTCTTCAGATCTCTGCTCAGATGTCTTTTTCATGGTGAAGACCTAGTGCCTTATCTAAAACAGCAGTTATGCTCTGTCTTCTATACACACACACATGCATGTGCCGATACTCCCTGCCTTTCTTCCTGGCTTTATTTCCTGCCACAGAACTGTTACCACCTAACATACTATGTATATATATTACTTTTCGGTCTGTTTTGTCTACTACTACATGCTCAGGGCTTAAAACAGTACCTGGCACAGCAGTTAATAAAATATTGTTGAATGAAAGAATGAATACTATTGTCTTGATTAATCCATCAATTAATTCTGGATTATCTAATTTGCACATCATTCAGACCTGATTTCTTCCCGATTACTTAGCTTCTATGGACATCTTTGAGATAAGAAACACTGCCAGAAAGATGAAATTTACTACCAATGCATTTTTTCATTATTTATGGATTTCAAAGATCAATATTCTGAGTCAGCTTGGATTCCAGTATCTAGAGACAGCCTGACCTATGACTTGCCAGAAGCCATCCTCAGAGTCCTCGTTCAGTCTCCCAACTGCTCCCCTGCCCCCAATCTGCCTCTGATTTTCTCACACTAACCATCAGGTCTCTCTCAATCTCTTCACAGACAATTGATATTTCATTTTCCCGATTCTCCAAAGACAAGCAGGCTTCACTGTGCTTCTTGCTCCAGTCCTGGAAGAATGCACTGTCCAGCTCTCGGTAGGCCACCATGAGGGTGCGAAGGCCATCACTGGCAAAGTCCTGGAAGACACGTGTGTGCACTGAGTGGGCCTGGGCTGAGTCAGGGCTGAGTCGAGGGACGACAGACTGGCCCCACACGCTCCCTCTGCCCGCAAGAGGTTTTACTGCCTCGCATCACAGCACTACTACCTAGCCTAACCAGAAAGCACCTGTTTTCTCAGTCAGATGTCCTAAAGACAAGGCCAGCATAGCTGGGTATAAAGTCTGAGAATACTTCCGAGACAGAAGATTCTAACTTCTACCTATGGTTAGGTAGTTTGCTGTGACCATGGTAAAGAATGAAGCCTTCAGATTTCTTCTAAAATTGGAATAGTAATTCACCCTCCACATAGAAGATAATGATGTTTATAATATGAGAAAGAAGGGAGTAATAAAGTAAAAAGGAATTTTTATAAAAAAATAAGGGTGTTACTGTTTTTTTTTTTTTTACAAGCATACATTCATTTATTTTCATTTCTTCCTGCCTTCCTTTATCAAGTATGCAGTGGGCATCTTAAATAGCAAATCTGTGTATCTGTCTACAGCTGGTTGGTTTCCCGGGTGGCTCAGTGGTAAAGAACCCACCTGCCCAAACAGGAGACGTGAGTTCATCCCCTAGTTTGGGAAGATGCCCTGGAGAAGGAAATGGCAACCCACTCCCCTTCTTGCCTGGGAAATCCCATGGACAGAGAGGAGCCTGGTAGGCTACAGTCCATAGGGTTGCAAAGAGTCAGACATGACTTAGCAACTAAACCATCACCACCCCCTACAGCTGGTTGGCTCAGGTGATTAGTCATAGCCAAGAGTACTAATGAGGCCACTGCTGAAATGCTCTCTGAGTAAGTTAGTACCTTTTGCTCTTTGGCCACCAATGTATCCTAACTAACCACAACTAACTCTCTTGCAGAAGTATACTCTTGGTTATAAGGAAAGCAAGGGGACAGTGTGGATAGTTTGGGGCACAATCCATATCTAACTGAAAGTGGGTTAGAAGCAGACTTTGCGTTTTGAGAACTGCAAATGAATAACAATTCTACACAATCACTGGTAATAGTGAGCTTTAAAATAATTCACTTTGGCATCATAAGACCGAAGAGAAACAGAATTTATCACCTTGATATTTTGTTATTAGTTGTCTGTATAATTCCTGAGTACTTTATGTTAGCTGTCGGGTAAAAATAACATCCAGGAATATCTGTAGCGAATCCTATCTCTTTTTTAAAAATTAATTAATTTATTTGGCTGCGTCCAGTCAACCCACTCCAGTGTTCTTGCCTGGAGAATGCCAGGGATCGGGGAGCCTGGTGGGCTGCCGTCTATGGGGTCGCACAGAGTAGGACACGACTGAAGCGACTTAGCAGCAGCAGCAGCAGTCTTAGTTGCAGCATGTGAGATCTAGTTCCCTGACCAGGGGTTGAACCCCAGGTCCCCTACACTGAGATCGCAGAGTCTTAACCACTGGACCACCAGGGAAGTCCCAAGAATCCTCTCTCTTCAATCTCTTTACTGTTGACAGGTGAAGTTATAAAAAAGAAGGCTGAAAGATGATCTCAAGAGACTTCTTACAAAGGAAACATCTTCATACTGCTTTCCCTAATGGTTGCACCAGTTTGTATATTCCCACCAACAGTGTATGAGGGTTCCCTTTTCTCCACATCCTCACCAACCCTCGTTATTTCTTGTCTTTTTGATAATTTAAAATAGAATTACCATACGACCCAGATCCAGCTATTCCACTTCTGAGTATTTATCCAAATAAAATGAAATCACTAATTCAGAAAGATACATGCACCCTTATGTTCACTGCAGCAATATTTACAACAGTTAAGACACGGAAACAACCTGAGTGTCCTCTGATGAATGGAACACTACGCAGCCATAAAAAGCAGAAATCTCACTATCCGTGACAGATGGATGGACGCGCACAGTACTATGCTATTTGAAATAAATCAGATAAAGAAAGACCAGACACCATATGATTTCACTCATATGTGGAATCCAAAAAACAAACAAATGAACAAGCAAAACAAAAACAAACTCATAGATAAAGAGAATATATTGGGGGTTACTAGAGGGGAAAGGGGTTGGGGGGTGAAAGGGGGTCAACTGGTGGGGATGGGTGATAGCAAGACAAAGTGGTGGTCACTTTGAATATATACAAGTATCAAATTATAATGGTGTACACCTAAAACTTATTTAATATTACATGCCAATTTTACCTCAATAATATATGTACATATATGCACATATATATTCAGGAATTAAAAATATACATCAGCCATTTAAGAAAAGAAGGAAGAGATATGGCAGAAATTGATCTTGCATGGTCTACTGATGAGAGGTCTTGGCAAGCCTAACAATACATTGACAGATTCTTAATCCAGTCAACAAATACTTTAGCAGTCTGTCCTTAACTTTATTTCCTACATATCTCTTGCTTGTATGTTTTTCTTTTCTCTTGTGGGGAGCAAACTGGGGCCCTGGGGTCCTGACTGCCGCCTGTTTTTGTGTAATCTGTTTGCGGGATTCCTGTCTTAGGGGGCTTGGAGCTGCGCTTCTGCATGAATGGGTTTCTGGAACTTGACTCTTACAGAATATCCCCAGTGGTTAATAGACTAATGGAGTCAGGCTCCACTATGGGTATCTGTTAAGGTTGGTTGCAGGTCAAAAGATCTGAAATGGTTTTATAATTTCCCTTTGAATCCAGTCTGTGGAAATGCTGAGAAGACACCCTAATTCATGTGTTCTGTATGGTTAAAAGATAAGGGAGGTTTTCAGAGTAGCCTATAACACACACACACACACAGAGAAACAAAACTGTGACCTCAGGAACCCAGTATGAGAGCTGTCCTATGAGGGACATGTCAGTGATTTTTTTCAAAAACTGGAGATACAATGTTATGTGCCATAAAAATCACCCTAATAAAGTGCACAATCAAGTGTAATATATAGGTACACAATTATGTATAATATAATGTATATGTATATATATGTATACACCTGCAACGTGGGAGACCTGGGTTTTATCCCTGGGTAGGGGTACTCCAGTATTCTGGCCTGGAGAATTCCATGGACTGTATAGTCCATGGGGTTACAAAGAATTGGACACAACTGAGCAACTTTCACTTTCTATGTATCTATATGTATATATATTTATAAAGTTGTGCAACCTTCACTATTATCTTAATCCCAAACATGTTTATCATCTCTGAGATGATGAAACCCCATTACCTATTAGCATTCATTCCTATTTCCTTTTCCTGTAGCCCCTGGTAACCACTAATCTACTTTCTCTTCTTCAGATTTGCCTGTTCTGTACATTTCACATAAATGAAATCATACTGGCCCTTTGTGACTGGCTTCTTTCACTTAGCATAATGTTTTCAAGGTTTATCATGCTACACATTGTAGCATGTATTAAGTATGTCCTTCCCTTCTGTGACTGAATAGCATTCACTGTACAGATTTATCACATTTTATTTACTCATTCATCCACTGATGGGGATCTGGGTGGTTTCTATATTTTTGTTATTATGAATAATGCTGTTATAAGCATTAGTGTACATGTTTTTGTGCGAATGTAAGTTTTCATTTCTCCTGGGAATATACCTAGGAGTGGAATTGCTGGGTCATATGTCAATTCTGTGATTAGCTTTTTCAGGAACTGCCATTGCCAGACTGTTTTCCAAAATGGTTGCACCATTTTACATTCTTGTCAGCAATGCGTGCAGGTTGCAATCTCTCTATATCCTTGGTGGTACTCATTATTGTCTGGTCATCTGTTTGATTTTAGTTACCTTAGTGATGTGAAGTAGCATCTTACGATTTGATTTGCTTTCCCCTGATGGCCATGACATTGAACATCTTTTCATGTGCCTACTGACCATCTGTTCTCTGATTTCCAACTATGTGTTAATGTAGGGCCACACCAAAATGTCCTAATAAAATAGCATTTCCTCCAAACTATTTCTTTCTTAAAATACTTCTCTGATCTACCTCTTCTCCCATCACATCCCCTGTCCTATCCCTCCAACCCTTGAAATATCCAGGTTTAGGGGTAGAAACCTCAGTGAGCAAGAATATGGTTTTCCTTTCTAATGTTAGCAAACGGGAGCCACTCTCTTTCTGTTACATCTCAAATCCCAGAAGGTGGAAGTGGAGTGGGGGAGGTAGGTAACCGTAGGATTCTAACCCTATAAATAACAGATGATGGTGTCACACAGTCACCTAAACAGTCCAGGCCTGGTGATTTCTGCTCCATACCTAAAAGGAGTCTGTTCCTGTCATGACTGGGCCAGGAATCACAGAGAGTCCTGATTGTAGTAAGTGCTCCTACAATACATTCTCATCATGCCCCCTGGGATCCTGGCCCATTCAACTCCTCACTGCAGAAGCTGGCAACGTGGTCAATGAGAATCCCACAGAAGGAGGTAGTTTTTACTCTTCTATCAATTAAAGAGACACAGATACCAATCTACCTTATACTGAAACACAGTGACGTGGGGACCCATATGTGGACACACATCCAGATACACAGAGCCGCCTGCTGCTCTCCTCCCCCGCAACCGGAACACTTACATCTAAATGGTCCATGGTTATGTCTTTGAGGGATCCACAGGATGGATGGAGGAGCTGACAGAGGATCGTGTCTGCACCCTTGCAGAATAACAGTATGCGGTTTTCAGGTGTCCTCACTGAAAATAAGCAAATTAAGCAAAGTAACCAGATGGGTCCATTGTCACAAGGCCATGTCAGAGCCACTGAGGGATGGCAGAAGGCTGTTCCCAAGACGTTTGTTTCTGATACCGCGGGGGCTAAGCACTCAGGGAGCGGTCACACAGGGTGAATGACGAGGGCTGCGGAGAGCGAGAGAAGATTGCTTGGAACCAGTGTTTCCATGGGTTCCACATCACCTATGGAAGACTGATACAGAATCACATTTAGCTTCTCAAGTCCAAATTCCAGACCAAGGCCCATACCTAGTGAGGACCAAGGAATAAAAGTGACCTTCCTCTTCAGTCTGAGGCCCAAACTAATTGACAGCAAGATAGTATGCATTTCCCCCATAATGTCCGCCCCCATTTCTCATTCCAAGTTCAGGCTTTATGAGTCTATTCTCCATTCTTATCTTGGTTTTAAAAGTTCTGAGAAGTCACTATCCAGGATAACTAAATAAGGGGCTTAGCATGTGGTTGTTAAGTTTACATATGTGTATAGAAGGAAATATAAAGAATTATGAGAGAGAAAGTGGGAATGGCTGTGTTTGTATTTGTGACAAGAGTGCCTTGGAAATGGCATGCGGGTGAGAGAAAATATTTGTGTGCAGACAGAAGAGAAAATCAACGTGTGGATGTATATGAAAGACAAAGACGGGGAGAGGGCTGACGGGGAGGGGCACCCACCAATAACAGACATCCTCTTGCGCACATTGATGACCATCTGTTCTCTGATTTCCAACTATGTGTTAATGTAGGGCCACACCAAAATGTCCTAATAAAATAGCATTTCCTCCAAACTATTTCTTTCTTAAAATACTTCTCTGATCTACCTCTTCTCCCATCACATCCCCTGTCCTATCCCTCCAACCCTTGAAATATCCAGGTTTAGGGGTAGAAACCTCAGTGAGCAAGAATATGGTTTTCCTTTCTAATGTTAGCAAACGGGAGCCACTCTCTTTCTGTTACATCTCAAATCCCAGAAGGTGGAAGTGGAGTGGGGCAGGTAGGTAACCGTAGGATTCTAACCCTATAAATAACAGATGATGGTGTCACACAGTCACCTAAACAGTCCAGGCCTGGTGATTTCTGCTCCATACCTAAAAGGAGTCTGTTCCTGTCATGACTGGGCCAGGAATCACAGAGAGTCCTGATTGTAGTAAGTGCTCCTACAATACATTCTCATCATGCCCCCTGGGATCCTGGCCCATTCAACTCCTCACTGCAGAAGCTGGCAACCTGGTCAATGAGAATCCCACAGAAGGAGGTAGTTTTTACTCTTCTATCAATTAAAGAGACACAGATACCAATCTACCTTATACTGAAACACAGTGACGTGGGGACCCATATGTGGACACACATCCAGATACACAGAGCCGCCTGCTGCTCTCCTCCCCCGCAACCGGAACACTTACATCTAAATGGTCCATGGTTATGTCTTTGAGGGATCCACAGGATGGATGGAGGAGCTGACAGAGGATCGTGTCTGCACCCTTGCAGAATAACAGTATGCGGTTTTCAGGTGTCCTCACTGAAAATAAGCAAATTAAGCAAAGTAACCAGATGGGTCCATTGTCACAAGGCCATGTCAGAGCCACTGAGGGATGGCAGAAGGCTGTTCCCAAGACGTTTGTTTCTGATACCGCGGGGGCTAAGCACTCAGGGAGCGGTCACACAGGGTGAATGACGAGGGCTGCGGAGAGCGAGAGAAGATCGCTTGGAACCAGTGTTTCCATGGGTTCCACATCACCTATGGAAGACTGATACAGAATCACATTTAGCTTCTCAAGTCCAAATTCCAGACCAAGGCCCATACCTAGTGAGGACCAAGGAATAAAAGTGACCTTCCTCTTCAGTCTGAGGCCCAAACTAATTGACAGCAAGATAGTATACATTTCCCCCATAATGTCCGCCCCCATTTCTCATTCCAAGTTCAGGCTTTATGAGTCTATTCTCCATTCTTATCTTGGTTTTAAAAGTTCTGAGAAGTCACTATCCAGGATAACTAAATAAGGGGCTTAGCATGTGGTTGTTAAGTTTACATATGTGTATAGAAGGAAATATAAAGAATTATGAGAGAGAAAGTGGGAATGGCTGTGTTTGTATTTGTGACAAGAGTGCCTTGGAAACGGCATGCAGGTGAGAGAAAATATTTGTGTGCAGACAGAAGAGAAAATCAACGTGTGGATGTATATGAAAGACAAAGACGGGGAGAGGGCTGACGGGGAGGGGCACCCACCAATAACAGACATCCTCTTGCGCACATTGCTGAAGTCCAAGATAGCCAGCAGCTGGTAGATTCTCGTTTTCCCCATTTCAACTACCACGATTGTCTCAGACGTGCGGGAACGGAACACAAAGCCAAAGTTCCTGGCAGCAGTGACCAGGGCACCTTCATCTGGGGACTGAGCCTGGTAAACCAGCTCACCTGGCAGGAGAGAAGGGGGCAGCCAGAGCCCATAGAGATGTGCGGATGAAGTCCACCCAGAAGTTAGGTTGTCTTCCAAGTGGCTGACATAAAGATGGAGCCCCGGAGGGGGCATCTGTCTTCAAAATTTCCTCATGAGTCTGGCCCTAAAAGGCCAGGTTGCATAGAACAAGTCAGTTTCTTTTTTCTTTCTAATATTTTCACCTCATTTCACAGATCTGAGTTAGTATTATAAAGGTACACAGTACATGTACACAAACAAAACATAGGTAGCTACTTTCCAACTTTAGAGGGTAAAGGTGGCTCAGGAGGTTGTTAAAAATGAAGGTTCCTGGGTCCGACCCAGACTACTGAATCCAGAATCACAAAACCTGGGAGGATAGTCCAGGAAATTGAGTTTTAACAAACTTCCTGAGTGAGTCTCATGCAGATGGGTCTATGTAAAGTGCTCCTGCATGAGACTGGCTGCACTTTGATGAACACTGCTACAGGGTAACAAGATTGATGGTTTGTTTAGTAAACAATTAGAAAATATATATGAATGAGTATGGTTGCCTTTGAAACTCTCACCCTGGGAAGTTAAATGACTTACTCTGTTCAAGCAATCTTTCAACCTGATATTACTCAAGACATATCTGGAACTCTTCTTTTAGGATACCCCCATAACCTGAGCTATGTTTTGGATTATTTCTCTTTCGAAGGCCAATTTAATTTTGAAAAATAATTATGCACCACCAGAATATTATACTTGGGAATGATGTGGATGAGGCAGTATAATTTTAGGTCAGACACACAACGTGTCCAAGGGATAATAAGACTATTTTCTTGTGTGTTTCCTACCTTGGCACTCACTTAAGGAAGTAAACAAAGGTAAGTCCAAATATGCTTCAAGTCATAGCAATTTATTGGAATGTCAGACCTGGAGAGGCCTTGGTGGGGTGGGAGCTTATGGGGCCAGATGACACAAGATTTGGGCTCTTATTCCATTTTTGCCTTTCTTAGCTATAGGGTTTTTGTCAAGTCACTTAATTTCTTTTAGCTTCAGCTTACTTCGCTATAAAACAAGGATCATTCTTCTTATTCTGCAGAGGGCTGTCATGAAGACTGTGGGAGGTAAAATAAATGAAAGCAACTTGTAAAATTAGAAAGTGATGTAAAAATATAAGGTGTTACTCATGGTAGTATTCTATTAAGTCAATTATATTGACTTTAAAAGATGTGATTCACTTGGCTGCCTAAATTCTTGTTTGTTAAGGAAAAGGTCTTTTCAAATTAAAATCAGTAATTTCTCATTATTTACAAAAAAGATTTCAATAAATTCATGGATGACATTGTCATATTTGGTGATTGAAGAAATTAGGGTATACAGGGATACCTTTAAATTGTGAAGCAACAAGAGGATGACAACTCATCCTTTAGGAAGTCTTGTCAGAGGTAGTGGGGTCGATCTTGGCAATAAATTAGACAAACTCTGTGACAGAACATTAGAGAATCTCAAGTTCCCTAGATAGCACCAAGTTTGACCCCTATCCGATGACTGAATCTTCTTTAAGACCAAGAGGTTGTTTTCTACTTAAATATATCCAGAGACTAGGAGCTCACTACTTACCTTGACTATCCATCCCATTGCTGGACAACTCTCCCTATTAGAAAGTTCTGTCTTAGATTAGTGAAGTGAAGTCGCTCAGTCGTGTCCGACTCTTTGCGACCCCGTGGACTGTAGCCTACCAGGCTCCTCCGTCCATGGGATTCTCCAGGCAAGAATACTGGAGTGGGTTACCATTTCCTTTGCCAGGGGATCTTCTTGACCCAGGGATCGAACCTGGGTCTCCCGCATTGGAGGCAGACGCTCTAGCCTCTGAGCCACCAGGGAAGCCCTTTCTTAGATTAAGCCATTACAAACAAACGATATCAACCCCCACCCCCAAATCAGCCTAGACTCGACACATGCTCAGTCAGTGAGGCCTCGGGATTACTCACCTTCTACTTTCTCTTCTGATATCACGGTATGACACAATGAGAGTGACAGGAAAAACAAGTGTACCCAGTGATCTCCCCTTTTCACCGCTTCGGCCAAAGTCTTGTCATAAAATGAAAACTCAGGATCGGCCAGATTGTTGTAGGAGAAGTCGACCTTTTCTCTTTTCTGGAACACATAAGCCAGAATGAACTTCTCAACAGCAGCTTGATACTTCATAGAAGGTTGATTGATTTAGGGGCAATTTCTGGGATGTGATGAGAACTCTCAGGAGGATGGGGAAAGAAAAGCAAGATAAGTGAAAGAGATTCTGTGCTGGTTTCTGAGGCCTTTGTACTCTGACCTGAACCACCCATTCACTCAGAAAAGACCCATCACACAGGAGGGAAGCTGAGCACTTCCTGGCAGACCCTTCCTGCCCCCTTTCAACTCCAGCTGTCCTAAATGACCAACGGGCACCTTCAGGCTCCATTCTTCCGAGTCCCAAATCCATGATAAATCAAACCTGAGGGTACAAGAGGCTAACTGTTCCCTATGAGTAAATGGTGAAGTCCTGTCTCTAGCTGCCCTCTATCTGATTTGGGGAGCTGGGGAGGGAAGGAGTTAGGTACAATGATATCCCTGTGTTGCACTATTCCTATTTTAGCCCACAAGAGGGCTAGAGAGGAATATTATAAGATAGAGGCAAGGATGTATAGCAAGGAGGCTTCAGTACCGACTTCTCATTCACAGACTTAATTTTGAACCATTTTACTTGACCCATCAGCACCCCTGATTCTTTCCTGCCTCTAGTCCTTAAGGTTACTGATTTCGCCTTGATCTTTATTCCTAATATTCACTACCATTTTCCTGGCTACGGGCTTGGCTCCTTTAAATGTCGACTGTCATTCATTCTGGGTAGGCTGCTGGTAGCCACCTTGGGTAAACATTCTTTCCTGGCTCAGTTTGGTCCCGAGACTCTCTTATGCCCACCCTGGAGTGCAGTGATGTTAACAGACTTCTCCAGCCCATACCAGAATTCTCAAGGATATATAACCAGTTCTTCATAGTTGTGGTGCTGTTACACCAGAACTGGGCTGGGCCACAATGTGTCAAGTACAGACACAATTGTCCTGCTTGGTGCTAAGTTAGGGAAACAGTAGTCTGCAGTGAGCTATACTGGCTCTTTTCTATGTCCCATCTAGAGGGTTTTTTGTCATGATAGTGAGACAGTATGGTCAGATCCAGAGCCAAGTTCTAGACCTGGCCAACCACAGAATTGCGAGTTCTGCTAAGTTTGTGGGTTCAGTAATTTAAGATAACTCATTCTATAGCATCCTCTGAGGCTTTTCTAGAACTGGGCTCTTGTACTGGTACATTCTTTAAGACTAGAAGCTGGTGAGTGATGAGAGAGAAGTTAGGGAAGTAGATATGAGGCAGACCCTGCATTATCATATTACATGCAATAGGGAACCATAGCAATATTCTGCTGAGTGTCATATGATCAGATAGTCCTCTGGTAGCACCATGAAGAATATATTAGAAGGAGCAAGACAGGAGGCTGGGAGACCAGTTAGTAGGCCACTCAGTAATTCACAAGAGAAATCATGAAGTAGTGACAAAATAAATATTAAATTCAGGGCATGGTTTGAAAATGTTTTTGACAAATTGACTTGGGGATACCTGAAGGGCGTACAGGTAATAACAAAAGCAGGTACATAGAGTTTTGAAGCTCAGGTAAGACATCTGGGCTAGTTTTTAATCTGTTCCAGACAAGTAAGCTTGAGAACACCGGACCTAGCTGGGCACAGGACTGGGGCAGGGCTGGTCTGCAGCCACAGTACAGCACGATCTGAGAGGTTTTATTCATGAATTACTCTGAAATTGGAAGTCAAACATCCAGTTGAATAAGGCTGAATGGCAAATCCAAGTCCCAGACAAAAGTATGGAAACCAGGGATATCAGACAAGAGGAAATGAATTTAGAATGGAGGGTAGATGATGCAGTAATGAATTGAGGAAGCACTTTGAGATGGTGTGACACAGCTATAGATAGTTTTTATAGGATATCTTTAGCCTTGGTCATGAAAGGGGAGGGAGCTAAAAAGGGTTCCTGATACGTGGATTTGGAGTTCATTAGTAAGTAGGCAGTAAGGTCAGTAAAAACATGATACTATAAAGATGGAAAAAGAGGTACAATAATAGAGCCCTGAGGGAGAATGGAGTGATATGTGGTAGAAGGCCTGAGGGTGGTGACTTTGGGAATAGCTAATAAAATGAATTAAGAATTAAATTGACCATAAATAAATTAAAAAATTATTCAAGTGGCACTGGAAACCCAAAAGAAGTTGGAGTCGATGAATTTGTAAAGGTTTTGTGGTCTCCAAAAAGTACTTGGCATTCTGAGATTAGAAACAGGGAAGGGTAGATGGCTTGATTAATTCAAGATTGAGATTTACTGGGAGATCAAAGAGGGGAAAAAAAGGGAGGTGTTGAAGATGCTTATGATCTTGGGTACAGATGGGGGGAAAGGAAGTAAAGTCACAAGGGACTGACAGACTGGAGAAGGAGAACAGAGAGTTTGTAAATCTTCCTAGGATAAGAAAGCAGGTATACTAGGAGTCAAGTACGAAGAGAATTGGAGGAATGAGCTTTGTGACCAGAGATCACGACAAGGGAGTTTACAATTTCATAGTAAAATTCTGGATGGTGACATGATGACCCAGAAATGGATGATACAGATTTTTTTTGAGTCCAAGAAGTAACCTGAAAGATAAATTCTTCCAGACACCTGAAAGCATCTATGGTGCTAGATCACCCATAAAGAAACCAATACCACCAAGATGACAGCAGGGGTTGGGCAGAGAGGGACAACATGAGCAAAATTTCAAAGTCCTCAGCATGAAGTGGAGAAGCCAGGAGATCTGTATAACGTCAATGACAGGAGGAGAGAGGAGGATAGCCAGAAGGCATCACAACACATTACATCACAGGAAGAAAGATTATACGAGGGAGAAAAAGTAATAGTTTAAAAGTGGCACAGGAAAGAATGTCCCTAGTGGTCCAGTGGTTAAGAATCCACTTTCTAATTCAGGGGACCCAGGGTCGAAGCCTGGTTGGGGAACTAAGATATGCTGCCGGGCAACAGCCTGTATGCTGCAACTAGAGAAGGCCTGTATGCCACAGCTACTGAGCCCACACATTCTAGAGCCTGTGCGCTGCAAGAAGAGAAGTTCATGCACTACAATGAAGACCCAGTGCAGCCAAAAGGAAAAAAGTGGCACAGGATAATGAGGACAATATCGCTGGGCTTTTGGTATGCTGAGTGTGAGAGACGGAGGAAAAGGAATGCTCTCAGGGCAAGATATCTTTCATTCAAGGTAGAGAGAAGAAAGCATTCTTAGGAAAAGATAAGGCTGTGGGTGTTTGTTTACAAGAGAACAAAGATTCCATTGATCCAGAGGAAAATGTGTTATGGTCACACAGTAGTGAAAGGAAGAGGAAGAGAAAGGACGCTCCAGGGTAACAGTTTACTCCCTAGAAGCAATCTTCCTTGATTTTGCCAAGGTCATTAGCAAAGTCCCTGCAAGAGGATTGAAGGCGAATACTGATTTTATTTCCCATTTCCAATCTCTCTGGATGGATAGGGTGAGGCATTAGTTGGGAGCTGGAGTTAGCTGTTCAGTATGTAAATCAAGTGGCTAAGGGTTTGGAATTGGTTCCGATAGGAAAAGGATAGGGTAAAGAGTACCCCGAATGTAATGAAAGAAGCCTCATGAAAGAAGGTTTAACTCAAATTCATAAACAAAAGCCAAGATCCAATAATGGAAAAAAACAGTAAAAATGAACCAGCCTGAGACAGGAAGAATGAAAAGGAAAATACTTTTACAATTGCGTGGGTTAGGACTTTTGAATATGTCACAAATCCTGAAGTTATAAAAGAAAAAGACTGATAGAATTGGTTATATAAATTAAATACTTCTAAACAAAAATTTATAAACAAAAGACAAAAATGGAAAAAATAATTGTAATATATATACCAAAGGAAAAGTTGATATTTTTACTGTATAAAGATCCCTTGGAAATAAGAAAAAAAAAACAACCCAAAGCATATGAACATGCAATTCACAAAATAACAACATATAGGCAATAAAGTTATTAGGAAGAGGAAAGAAACTAAGTATATAAAAATGATTCAATCTGATTAGTAATCAAAGAAAGGTAAATTAAATGAGATACAACTTTCACCAATTAAATTTCTAAAGATTGAAATATTAATACCCAGTAGTGACAAGGACATGATAAAACAGCAATTTTCCTATATTTTTGGTGGGATTATAAATTGATGCAGTCTATCCAGAGGGCAATATGGAACTATCAGATGCATTAAAAATCTAGCCACTCTTTCAGCAACTAATTTTACTTACAGGACTTTATTCTAAGGAAATAATTATCAGAAGAGGAGACAAAAATGTATGTACCTGGGTGCTTATCATAATACTATTTATAATAGCAAAAGGCAGCAGAATAAAAACAGGGGATTGACTACATCAATTAAGATACATCAATATAGCTGGATACGACAGTCATTCAAAATGATATAGATGTAGACATAAATATACCTAAATATACGGCCATGGAAGGAGGGCCACAATATATATTGTGTCTGATGAATAAAAAGAGTCTGAAAATAGCATGGGTGCTGTGATCCATCCATCCTTCCTTCCTACTTACCTACCTACCAGACCTAGATGTATATGTGTGTATATATACACATGAAAAGTATCTGAAAGGATAAATACTACCAAATTTGACACTGGTTATCTAAATGAGACTAAGTCATTTTTAACTTTCTTCTTCATACATTTCTATATTGTTTGAATTTCTTTTATTATGAGCATAGTTAATTTTTTTTAACAGAAAAAAACCCAATAAAGCTATTTTCAATTTATTTATATATTTACTAATAATTAAATAAATGTTTTAAAGAAATTTTAATAGCACTATTGAGAAAACAAGTAATATTTATATGCAGAACTAGAATTTGTTCTTGAGTAATGTAATGTCTTCCAAAAAAGTATCTTAAACCACTATTCATTTTCTGTCTTAGGTCATTTTTATGGGCTCAAGGATTTCTCCCTTTGCTGGCTTCTTCAGACATTCCTGACTTTAAAAATACTTATATATCATTTGTATGTAATTATATACATAATAACCTTCTTATAAAAAGCTATTTTCATTTAAAAACACAAACCCAAATCTGCTCAAATAAACAGAGGTTATTTCCATAACACTTTCTGATATTACGGGGCCGATAACAGCTGGGGTGCTTCAGGAGCTCGGGGAGCCCCAGTCTGTACTGAAATGCCGCTGTAAGCACAGCCTGGCTCAGCTCCCACGTACACTGCACGGGGAGCCGGAAACACTCACCTTCGAGACTTTGCTCCACGGCGCGCTTTTGTCACAGACATCACCTGTTGGCAAGTAAACAGAGCACACACTTGGCAAAGATTTTAAAGAGGCTTTACATTTCTTTTTATTGTGGTAAAAGATATATAACATAAATTTTCATTTTAACCATATTTTAGTGAACAACTCAGTGGCATTAGTATCATTCACAATGCTGTGCAACACTCACCATTATATATTTCCTAAACTTTTTCAGCATCCTGAACAGAAACTCCCTACTTTCCCTTATTCCCAGCACCTGGTAACCTCTAATCTGCTTTCTGCCTCTATAAATTTGCCTATTCTAGATGTTTCATACAATGATGCATACAATAGGAATTCATACAAAATATTTCCTATTTTGTCTGGCTTATTTCACATAGCATAAAATTTTCAAGAATCATTCATGTTGTAGCATATGTCATAACTTTACTACTTTTTATGTCGAAGGTTGTGACAGTGTACAGGAGACAGGAATCAAGACCATCCCCAAGAAAAAGAAATGCAAAAAAGCAAAATGGCTGTCTGAGGAGGGCTTACAAATAGCTGTGAAAAGAAGGGAAGCGAAAAGCAAAGGAGAAAAGGAAAGATATACCCATTTGAATGCAGAGTTCCAAAGAATAGCAAGGAGAGATAAGAAAGCCTTCCTCAGCAATCAATGCAAAGAAATAGAGGAAAACAATAGAATGGGAAAGACTAGAGGTCTCTTCAAGAAAATTAGAGATACCAAGGGAACATTTCATGCAAAGATGGGCTCAATAAAGGACAGAAATGGTATGGACCTAACAGAAGCAGAAGATATTAAGAAGAGGTGGCAAGAATACACAGAAGAATTATACAAAAAAGATCCTCATGACACAGAAAATCACGATGGTGTGATCACTCACCTAGAGCCAGACATCCTGGAATGGGAAGTCAAGTGGGCCTTAGGAAGCATCACTACAAACAAAGCTAGTGGAGGTGATGGAATTCCAGTTGAGCTATTTCAAATCCT